CTGCCTTGCCACTGTGTTATAATAACCAACTGATCTTCCTCAAAATGAATTTCATTGAGCATTTTGCCTCTACCTGGACTCCAAGCTACAGTTTCTGAAGGCCCCCAAAGGAGGAATTGTTTCCTTCTCACCACAGCCCAAAGTCCCATCCTGATTTCTTCTTCAGCGGAGGTTTGTCTGCAGGAAGGACAACTTCTTCCAAGAGAAATTCACCCCCATTAGGTGGTGAGAGGGAATAATAGCACCCATTGTGTATGGGATCTAATTACCATTCACAACTAGAGGGAAGCAGGGCTTTGGGAGGATGAATGATTGCAGATCTGTGGCAGAACGTGTGCAAGATGGCTGGGGTTGTGGCTCAGTGGCAGAGCGTCTGCCTGGCAAGTGTGAGGCATTGGGTTCGATCCTCAGAACCACACAAAAATAAATAAAGATATTGTGTCCATCTACATTAAAATAAAATAAAATAAAAAGAACATGTACAAGATGAGTCTGGGGTACCTTCCAGTTTCTGGAAGAAAGTCAATCAGACTGATGAGTTGTGTTGAAGGACACAGGGGACAGGAAGGGGCACCCATATGCTAAATATGGGAGTCACTGAGCACCTAAAAAGAATGAGCTCAGTCAAACAAAGCATATTGTATATATTAAAATTAAAACATCACTTCATAATTTATGATGATATTTTGAAAAAGTGAGAGACGGCAAATGACCACTTCAACAACAGCCTCATTGGCTACTGTTGCAAGGACAGGTGTTTATTCAAAAAATTGGCTCATAGAAGGAAAGGCGGAAGATGCCGCTAGTCTGTCTTTCCTGTACATACTACATTGTAGGGCATTGAAATAACCTGAGCTGACAAACGCTGGGATAGTGGTGATGTCGAGGAGGAGGATTTTGCTGTGCTGGGGATAAAACCCAGTGTCTTGCACATGCTAGATAAGTGCTCTGCTCCTGAGCTGTATCCCAACCTGAAAAATTGGTTTTTATATAAAAATTTCAACTAATAAGTGTAAAAAGACAAAAACCATCAGAACATCATTTTATACCCCCTCCAGTGAAATAACGAGTTCGGGTAGTAGTTATTAATAGATGCAACTCTTCGGTGAAAGGTTGATGGGAAACTTGAAATGGCAGAGATGAGCTTATCACATCCTGATTCATTGTAACTCACTAACAAGGAAACCCAGACGGTGTGCTTGGGCCACATGATGTCCACGTCACGTCTGAAGTATCATTACCCCCGCAAAATTGAACTTGAATCTAACGCAGACTTGAGGATTAAATCTCCTCTAAAGGGATGTAGGCAGGAGTGGAATGATACTACAAGGAAGCAAGGAGGCCAATTCAGCTTGGGGGACCTTCCTCAAGACTGCTGGCCCAGTTCTGAGCAAGGCAGTGGCATGAGGAAGAAAGAAGGGAGGCTGAAGTTGCTGCCCATAAGAGACCCAGGAGGCTTAACACCGAACAAAACACATGAGCCTGGTCGGGGTCCTGATTCACACAAACAAACTATATACAAAAATCAGAAACCAAAATTTTGTTATAGCATAGGTATCCGATGCCAGGGACATATTGTCAGTTTTATTTAATGTATAATGGCACTGTGGTTATATAAGAAGATGTTCACAATTTTTAGCCATGTCTACTGAAGCATATGCAACTATTTAAAATACTTCAGCAACCGTTTAAAATATTTTAGGTGGAAAAAAGAAAAAGAAAGGGACAAAGGCAAGGTGACAAAAATCTTGGTGATTGTTGAAAGGAAAGTGACCACAACACTC